TTGCAGATTCATTGTCGTTCTTTATCGTTGCATAGAATTTCATTGTGAGTATGCACCATAATTTGTTTATCCATTCATCTGTTGATGGGCACTTGGATTTTTTTTTATCTTCTTGCGATTGTGAATAATGCCACAGTGAACATGGATGTGCATGTATCTATTTGTGTGACAATCTTATTTCTTGAGGACATATTCCTACGAGTGGGATTGCTGGATTGTATGGTACTTCTATTTCTAGCTTTTTAAGGAGGCACCATATTGTTTTCCAAAGTGGTTATACCATTTTTACATTCCCATCAGCAATGCATAAGAGTTCCAATCTCCTGGCAACCTCTTGAACATCTGTTATTTTCTGTTTTTTTGATTTGTGCCAGTATCTCATTGTAGTTTTGATTTGCATTTCTCTATGGCTAATGCTGAGACTTTTTATCAGGGATGGGTGTTGGACTTTATCAAATGCCTTTTCTGTGTCTATTGAGATGATCATGTGATTATTTTGTTTTATTTACATGGTGGATTACGTTGTTTGATTTTCTAATGTTGAACCATCGTTGCATACCTGGTATGAATCCCACTTGGTTGTGGTTGTTATTTTTTTGATATGGTGCTGAATTCTACTGTATAGAATTTCGTTGACAATTTTTACATCTATATTCATGAGAGATACTGGACTGGCATGTAATTTTTTTTGTGGTGTTTTTGGATGGCTTTGCTATCATGGTTATGCTAGCTTCATAGAATGAATTCGGGAGTATTCCTTCCTTTTCTGTGCTGTGAAATAGTTTGAGTAGTACTAGTGTGAGCTCTTCTCTGAATGTTTGGTAGAATTTTCCAGTGAAGCTGTCCAGGCCAGGGCTTTTATTGCTGGGAGTTTTTTATAATTTCCTCTTCAGTCTCTTCTCTTGTTCTGGGTCTGTTCAGATTTTCTATCTCAGTTTTTGTTAGTTTGGGTAGGTAGTGTGTTTCTAGACATTTGTCTGTTTCCTCTAGGTTCTCAACTTTCCTGGAATATGATTTTTCATAATATTCTGTTATGATCCTTTTTATTTCACTTGAGTCTGTTGTAATGTCCCCTATCTCATTTCTTATCTGAGTTATTTGCTTCCTTTCCTGTTTTTCTTGTCAGTTTGACCAGTGGTTTGCTGATTTTGTTGATCTTTCCAAAGAATGAACTTTTGGTCTTGTTGATTCTTTTTATTGTTTTTCTGTTCTCTATTTCATTTATTTCTGCTCTAGTCTTCATTATTTTCTTTCTTCTGATGCCTGTAGGTATCGTTTGCTCTTCTGTTTCTATTTGTTCAAGTTGTAGGGCTAGCATTTTGATTTTGGTCTGTTCTTTTTTGATGTGTGCATTTGTTGCTAAAAATTGACCTCTGAGCACTGCCTTTGACATGTCCCAAAGGTTTTGGTATGGTACGTTTTCGTAGTCATTTTGATTCTATAAATTTTTCGGTTCCCTCTTTGATTTCTTCTATTACCCAGTTGTTTTCAAGCAAGGGTATTAGTCCGTTGCCATGTATTTGGTTTTTTTCCCTTAATCTTCCTGTTATTGATTTTTACTTTTATAATGTGATCAGAGAGAATGCTTTATATTATTTCGGTGTTTTAGCATAATTTTTTGAGATTCATCTATTGTATGGAATGGATGATTCATTTGTTCTCTGTAATTGTTGAGTAGTATTCCATTATGTCAGTATTTCACAATTTATTTATCCTACTGATGGAAATTGAATTGTTTCCAGTATTTGTTATTATAAATAGGAGAGCAATTGCTGGGACATATGGTAGAGGTATGTTCAGATTTATTTATTTATTTATTTATATTGTACTTCAGGTGAAGGCTTACAGAACAGATAATTTCTCATGAAACAGAAGTACACATGTTGTTTTGTAACATTGGTTAACAACCCCACAACATATCAACCCTCTAACTTCTCAACCTTTTTTTCTTTTGGTGAAAATACACATAGCCAAAGATACACCATTTCAAAAATGCCTACATGCACAGTTCAGTGACATTGACTACGCTCTTC